CGTATCATGCTATCCGTGCTGCTAAGCATCTGGATAGTATGAACAATTTGTGTTGCTGTTGCGATCGTGTGTATGGGCATCCCTCCACTCGAAATGGGTTGATGGAACATGTCGGTTGTTATTTCCCTCCCTGAACGGCATGTAGATGACGACCGAATACGGCCAATTTTTTAAGGGTAGCAATGCCTCAGGTGATAGTCCAGCCGAGACGTCACAAGAGTGCACATTGCATCCAACTTCTCACAGGGGAAGAGCTCTGACCTGAAGCGCTTAATGATACCCTTCTTCGTCTTGCTAATGAGGCGAAGGATTTGGCTTTGTTGCAATGTAGTCTCTAGTGATTCTTTTACCCCAGGAACTTGCACATCTCTCCCACCTTCACCACGGGCAAGAAATCCTTTGCAGCTTTAGTTGGACCGGACCAGGTCACTGCTTTGTCTTGTCCACCTTCGGTTGCAGCGTACCGCATGTGGACGGGTTGTGTAGTGCGCAGCTACTACAGTGATACTCTTACTGGACATCTGGATATCCATCCAGCTGGACGAATGTAAATAATATCCTATTAGAAATAAGTTAAATCACACTTCACAGGAAATAAGGCCACCAGGCTAAGAGTGCTCTACGAGCAAACGGGGGTACAAACTAGAGACTATTCTTCGGTATTTTATGTTTATTTTAATGGTTATGCTCTGAGTGTAGCGTTCATATAATGAGTGTTGACCTAGCAGGTGTGCATAGGGTAGGTAAGTAGTAGCAGCAGAGAGCGCTGTTTACTACAGGCTGGGCTTTAATGCCGCCCCTTAGACGAAGCGTGCTACCACTTGGTGAAGGTTACTGAAACCTTTACGAGTGCTGGCAACAGTTTTTCAAGTGGTTTGCGTGTGCCACATGAGATACCTTTTTCGTTGGATTCCCGTCTGTTGTACGTAATTCTAGTCCTTCGTTACGTGCTGCCAGTCTCTGCAGCAGCGGCTCGATGCCAAGGTTGAAGTGGACAGGGCGAAGAGGGCAGCCGTGCCTGACTCCCTTCCGGTCCTCTATTCGTCCGGTGTTGCCCTTCTGAGTTGAAATGCCGAAGTTCTCTCCGTCATAGTAATCAGGGATGACCTCACGAACATGCTTCGAAAGCCGTTGAGCCTTCAAGACAACGTGAATACGCTAATGGGAAGTATATCCGAATGTGCTTTGAAAGTCATAGTGCGTCACGTACACTAGACCCTAAAACCCTAAACGTACACTGGCTCCTTGCCCCAGCGGGTTGAGAATACTCTGGGCAAGAAACAGCTCATGTTATCCAGTCACTCGCATGAAAACCTTCTGCAACTTGGAGGCGAATCCCCCCTTGACTGCCCAGCAGGTAATCTTGCTTGCCACAGCAGGCTTACGATTCTTCCTCTCTGGCTCCTGTGTTCTGTGCTTTTCCTCTGCACAAAGCAGAAGTCCCGATTCCGGCTTGGAGGGGGCTCGATGAATAAGACCTTGCGGGCCCATTGGGCTTGACTGGGAAGGAACGACAATACCCGCTTGTGTAGGTGAAGAAGCCACCAGGTGAGGCTCTGGCAATGGTGATGATGGTGATGCAGCACTGGTGGACATCCATACAGGCCAGTTGGGAGACAGGCTGCGGTTGGGCCGTTAGGCCGTTAGGAGATAACCCTGAGGATGCTATACGTTTGTGCCTGCAACTCGATAGAATCACAAAACGTTTGTTGCTTCTCTGTACGTTTGTTTCCGCAAAACATCTATAGTGGGGGCAGCGGAAGCGGGTAGCAATTATCGAAATGCTGGTTCTGTGACGCTTGCTACACGATGGAGGTATGAGATGTTCGTACTAAACCCGCAACTGGGGCTGTACGAGGTGCGCAGTCTCCCATTTATCTGAGGAGCTCCAGCAGGTCAAACACGCTACGATTATCACCTCGGCTTCACTGTAAGTGATTCGAAAACCATGTGAATATGGCGCCCAAGCGGTATCACCGGTTACTCTTGAAGAACATAAGCTGTTCAGGGGTACAAAAGCATCATTATCGTGGGCCAGCAGCGCCCATTAGCCGCATGCTGCGGGAGGCATTTCGCACGTCCTAATGCCCAGTGTGCTCGGCCATGCATGACTGCAAAGGCGATAGGCGCACAGCAGCTTAACGAACTCCCGTTTTACACATCAAGAAGGCACTTCGCTCGTTAAGCTTATTGTCGGCCTTGCCGCTTTCCCATGGGCGAACCTACTCGTTTACTACTGGATTATTAGCCTTCGATATGCCTTTCCGTTATCCAAGCAGTATGGCGGCCCTGGCGAAATTATATATCATCTGGGGCTGCATGCATGGTGGAGAGGGAACACTAGTTCGTTGCTAGCGTCTTAGGGAGCCTGCTGACTCCGTGTTGAGCAGCACCTCAGTACCTTATGATGTGTGGAGCAAAACAAATATTTGAAAGGACCAAGAGGGGATGCCTTGACTCTCTATGCAGTTTGCTGCTAGCCCGTATTTGCGGTGCATGTTTCTCGTGCCGTCGTATTATTACGGCCAACAGCAGACACACTTCGTTGAGCTCGACGTTAGGCGATGCGAAACGGATTACCTGTGCAGATTCAATATTTGAGGGGATGCCAAATGAATGGCGTGATAATATGGCAGAGCATTCTGTTTGGAAAGGTACTGCTGGGGTTGGCATGCATATACACGTTTGGAAAAGGCGGGCATTCGCCTCAAGCATATCGCATATCTAGAGCTGAGACTTTGACGTACAGAAGTGCTTGGTATTCATGTGTTTCTACCAGGAAGTCAGTATATTATGTATTACACTAAATTTGCATCCGGCACCAACACTGGGGTAAAAGTATGTTCGCAGGTCCGCAGCTGAGAAGCACACATCTGCATGTTCTGAGCTGAAACTGTGACTAACTGCAATATATCTCAAATGGGACTTAAGGTTGCAACTCCAACTCCTTGGAAGCCGTCTTCGTTTTGTTTTCCACCAAGTGTGCTAACAATATCAGTGCTAGCAGAGACAGGCTTCGTTCCATCCTGGGCTCTGAGCAAGAGCTGGCCTCTTGCGTAAACCCATTGAACGCTTACACACTTACCTGGCTGTGAGCACCAATATACTCCACGGCAGTCGTCGTGGAGCAGAAAAACGCATTTCTGGAGCATGGCCATCGTGACAGGGGCAACAGCTGCTTTAGGATCACTAGCAGCGGGAGATGATGTTGTGCAGGCTCTGTACGCACTGTTGTGAAACGAAACACTTTGTCATGGACTGCTACGTACTGAGTGAAGAGTTGTGATATCGCGCCAGCAGGTGCAGGGTTTCGTCCCGCTGCGCATTGCAGTGCCTTGTCAAATCTGATAGACGCGCCAGCATCACTATGCACAGGTATTGGGGGTCGCCGTAGCTGCGGCTACACCATGGGTTGCTGTTATTCTGGTGGGAGCAGCAGCTGATCCAACAGAGCAGGGCACAGTGATGTCCCAGAGTGCACGGGAAATGCCGGCTTAGTGGGCCTCATGCGGGGCAAACACCGTCGCTTGACTGCTGCTCGCTGCCCTCACTTGCTGCTGTTGTCGTTGGCACTATTACTGCCAGTGGTGTTGCAGTTGAACGTGCCTGCTAACAAAAGTACGGAAGAGTCCTTCTTCATTTATTTCAACGTAATGGAGGCAATTGGGAGGGTCGGCCGCAGTTGGTATGGATTACTCTGCTTAGCCTTCCCAACGGTCGTGTATCACCGGCTCGCCCGTCTCTAAGGGCCCCCATGCACCGTGCCTCACGAGACAATTCCGTTCCTTTTGCTACTGGTGCTGCTGCTTGTGCTTTTCTCCTATGGTGCTGTTGCCGTTGGTGTTTCTCCTGATGGTGCTGCAGCTGCTATGCAGTTGTTGCTGTTGCTGCTGCTGTGTTGTTGCTGCTGGTTCCAGTTTGCATGTTGGAGAGCTGAATAGGAAAGCCCAGGGCCTGACGCCAATCAAAATTTGGGCTATACTGAGGAAAAACGTTGTATTCAACATGTAAAGTGAGAGACCTGCTTGTGTATGCGAGATTCCTGTGGTTCCGGATTGACACTGTTTGCATGGAGGGGGCTTGAATAGGAAGGACTAGGCTCAGACAGAGAATGAATGCTGCTTTGCTGCTTTGCACAGATGATGTGAGACAGCTGCTCTTGTAGGTGGGAGAGCTGCCTGTGGAGCCATTTTGGGAATGCTAGTGCAACTTTCATGGACCTCCATGCAGTCTAGTTGGGACAGAGGGTGGACAGTAGCAGCGACACAGGGACGACCCCGAGCATGGCATGCGCTTGCCTTCTGGCGAAGCTCGTTGTACTTACACAAGGTTTGTCGCGCCGCTGTACGTTTGTTTCCGGAAAACATCTACAGTGGGCACAAGCGGCGGGAGTGGGGAAAAGCAAGAGCAAGCCGATGAAAGAATTTGAGACCTTCGTGCCATTTTTGCAGCTGGGATAGATTTCGGAGCTTTTCGAGGTTTGCAGCGTGCGATTGAACTGAGTAGCTCCAGCAGGATAAGAACTGAGTGATTCGAACGTTATTCCAAGTTGACGCTCAAGCAATATCATCTGCTGCTCATGAATTGCAGCAGCTGTTCTTGAGATGGATATGAAAGCATTGTCATCGTGCGGCTGCAGTCCCTATTAGCTGCCAGTTTCGGGAGGAATTTTTTCATGTCTTAATGCGCAGTGTGGTCGTGCGCGCATGACTGAAACGGCGATAGACGTGGTATCCTGTGAGGTAAAGATATGTAGAGAAGCCATTCTTTGGTCTTCCTGTGGAGTGCACAGGTCGAGCAATGAATGACATGTACAAGGGAAGGCATGCAAACCATTCGCTGCCAGGGGACGTGACTCACGAGCGGCGCAGCAGGGAGCTTTCCACTGAAAAAGAATATGCTGTACACTGAATAAGAGTTGGATACTCAACTGAGGCTTAACTGGAAATGTGCAGAAGCTGGGACGGCCCTGATAACGTCAGAGAGAATGGCCGGTAACCATGCAGTGGTCGATCGACTGCTGGTTCGCTCAGCTGAAGCAACCACAGCAGTGGACGTCTTGTAGTAAGTCTAATCTGTGCATTATGCTATATAAGTGGTTTATTTGAAGTTAATGGGAAACAGTTTCAAACAGAGCAAGCCATGTCTGAGCCAATAGGCATGGTGGCTGATGGTCACACACCAGGCAGCTCCAGTTACTACAGCCCCTTGGAAGCCACTGCTCTCGTCTGCTCGTCTCCTTTCTTGCCTACCCATTGTTACACATATCCATTCAGAACCTTTCACTTCAACATATATATTCCAATTGTCCATCTAGCAGTGCCTTTGTCAGAGGCCCTGTGTGCCTCTCAACGTTTTCTACCCCGGTCGTCTGCCTTTGCTGTGGAATTATGGATAGACCGGAACAGCCTTCTGTGCACGGTGAGGGCTGAAGATAGCCTTGGAGCTACATTTAAGAACTTTACGTTTAGAAGGACAGGTCAACTGTGTTTGCTAAGCTCCACAGGCAGGGTCAAGCCTCCTTGCCAGTGCACGAGGAACTAAGGACAACTTTCAGTATGATATGGGTGGCGCTGTGTGATTATCTGCATACACATGCTCTTATGCATGTTGTATGTGCCTGTGTTTGTGGATGCTCAGATGGGATTTCTGCTCATCCTGAGTTTTCTCTAAACTGCAGGGAGGAGCTCGATGGCCACGTCGCCTGTGTGAAGCTGTTTCTCGAACAGCACGTGGTGCATGGGGAACCGTACGTACCAGGCAGTGAAGATGATAGGGATAGGTGTAGATCGACGCGTTCTCTGTACATGGTGAGAGGATCGCAATTGTGCGGAGGGAAACAATGCTAACCAGATTAGCGAGGTCAGTTTCTGTTGCTTCCATGACAGAAGTGTTACGATAGGTGCATCTTGTGGGTTGGTTTGCTTGCAGAGGTGCATGCAGAACAAGAAAAACTTCCCACAAGATTCAGACCGGGTTGCCCATCTAATGTCACAACCACTGGTAGGTCATCGTTGATCTGTGTGTAGTTTGCACCCTTCTACTAATCTGAGGTTGCTAAATTTGGGTTAAATAGCTCGAGGGGAAAAAATGCAATTAACAAGGTTTCTGAAAGGCTGGTGCTGTTTTCTGAAAGTAGAGAGGACCTAAGGCGTGCGAAATGGAGCTTACGATGCATGGAAACTGCGTCGCGATTCAACTGGAAAGAGCCCAGAAGCTCGGCGAAAAATACTGGACTCAAGGAGGCGAAGATCGTTGTTTGGTGACTCGGGCGAATTACGAGGTAAATAGAGAAGTTCGTGGCAGTAAACAGTTTAAGATGAGCAATAGCAGGAGGCGTACAAAAAGAACGCATGATATATGGAAGAAAGTTGCCTTCGAACATTGGCGTGTATGCAGAGGTGTATGTACGGCACAAAGCTTGGCCTGACAGATCGGTGGGGCGGCGAACGGTTGAGCCAGCAACTGGAGAAAAACATTTCGCATTTGCAGGTTCGACTTGATCATAAGTGATCTGTTCGTGGACGCACACTGTGCATTGCCATTTCCTGTGGTAAAACTCCAAACATGTATTCTCCTGGACAGTGCGACAAACACATAAAAGGGCGACAAACGTATAAAAAGGTGTCTGCATGGATAGAATATTGAGTGGCGCCTGATCGTGAACTCGAATCAGGTGATTAGAAAGTAACGAAAAGGCATCCCCCCGCAGTACTCCCTCTCCTGGCAGACGAAAGCTCACGCCAGCCACTAGCCATCCAACTGATTGCAACGGCAGAGCGGTTTGTGTCATTAGCGCCCGCCATGACGACGGACATAATCTTGTATTTCGAAACAGTTGCACCCGGGGACTGCAGAATTTTCGTTTTGAACTAGACGCCGACACAACCCTAACTTTTCACCTCCCTCCTTATTTCGCTAAGGAGACTTGAAAATCCACTCCAGCCTCTAGATATAAATATCCATCTAAATTGTAGACACCTAACTGGCAGCAATACAAGTCCCCCTAGTACTCCTTGTGCTCTGCCCTCACTAAATGAATCAGTTTCTCCTTCGCTACCAGACAGACTTTTAGAAGAAACGTCTAGGCTTCAAAAAACTTCAGCCTGCACTCCAATGCAGTATCACGAAGTACGCCATACATCTGTGCAAGCTGGCGTTACTTTCTGGCTACCTCTCTGCTGCCTGGTATCGACACAGTTCTGGACGCACAGGTACAGAGAGCAGCACCAGAGGTCGGCAGCAGCAATACACACAACGAAGCAAGCAACATGGGTGCCAATGACCCTTCCAATGCAAAAGATCGGAAAGGTTAATTCATCGCACCCCCTGACGATATTCATTGAACTCCTGAAGAAGTTCCACAGCTGCCCGCATTAAAAAGATTCAAGAGGGAAACCGCAACCTGAACCTGCGTCCCCTCTATCTGTAGAGCGTACGCGTGGAAGTGGGCAAGGGAAGAGGCGATACATGACTGAAAATCAATAACAGTTGAGGTAGAAACAACAAGAACCGCAACTATAGCTCGGCGCTTTCAAAGGAAAACAACGGAAAACAACGGCATGCCAAAAGCAAAACCAACACCAACCCAAAGAGCCAGAAATTTGCGTGTATATCTTGTAGAAACATTAACCGCGAAAGGACAGAGGGCGGTGCAGAGCTGAAGCAGGACAAACAGTCAAACAGAATCAAAAATGTTGAATGGGGTGTATAGGGTTTATCACAGGCAACCGCAAACGCAAACACCAGCAACAAAACCTGAAGCAAGAGTGCTATTCAACTCTTATTGGTTTTCTACACCCCTCACCTCAAATTCAAAATGTTCATCCACCCCGCATCCAGAATGAGCTTGCAGACACTTAGCAGCCGCCAGCGTGTATCTACACACGAGAACATCACACGCCCAGATTGGTCCTTAATGAAACAATAACCAATTGTTATACCACCTAAGCATCCACCTGTAGCTGCAAAAAATGTTTTATTGTCTACTTAAAATTGAATATTAAGCCTATATAACACGATCCATTTGATCCACTTGCCCCCCCATATACACTGGCAAATTCATATGCACACCCAACCCTAAACCCTAAACCCTAAACCATAAGCCATAAGAAATCAATAACTAGCAAGGCTCACCAGTAGAAAGAAACCACTGCCACCTCAGCAGAGCAGTCGGCGCCACCACAACTTTGCAGAAGAAAAACGACAGCGTCACCACATCGTCCGCTGTTGCCTGCGAGCCCAAACCCTTAAAGAATCCTCAAACATAAACGTTATAGCCTGCACCTTGCAGATATATACATGTATATATATATATATGCATATATATATATATGTAGCTGCCCCGAAATGGATCTTCATGGCTTTGCTTTGCGCCATTCATTTCTGAAAGGGCGAAAAGATATGCTAGAGAGAAATGTTGTGAGGCGACGGTAAACTTCACTAAAAACACCCAACTAATTTGCAGCCTGAAACTCTATGCCCTGAACAAAAGGCTCTGTTTCTGGTCTTCAGTTGGATAAACAATCTGACATCAGTCGAGCAGCAGCAAACCCTAAATCCTAAACCTTAAACCCTAGCACCGGTGGCATTCAGGGTTTGCGGTCCTCCACGTACATGTGAGGAGACTGTCGGCATCCTCCCAAATTTTGCTGCGAAGAGCCGTTGCGTTGTTTGACCCCCCCGTACCAGCTGCCTGAAGCAGCAGCAGCAACAACAGCAGCAGCAGCAACGGCAGCAGCAAATGTAACAGCGAGAAGCACTAGCAACACTTTGCAGGCATATCTATAGCAAAACAAAAATAGAAAACCCTTTTCCTGCCGGAGCCAACCACAGGCACACAGCAGCCATGCCACAGAAGCAGCATCGACATCGTCAACATCAACAGCAGCAGCAGGAGCAGGAGCAGGAGCAGGAGCAGCAGGGAAGTGCCTGAAGTGCGTCTGACCTTGTCAAGCCCTGTATACAAATCTCGCACACCCGGCGATATAACATAAGCCTCATGGCTGCAGATGGAGCCCCCCTTTGCTGATCGCCTAGCAGTTGCTGAACAGCTTCAAACTCTGCAACTAAATCGGAGTCCTCATCTATAGCAGAGGCAAACAGTTGTTGATCTGCATGCACATCTCGAGGCCGCAGCAGCACTTCCTGTTGCTGCACCGGCGCACTCGCCGTTCCTCCTGCTGCTGCTGCTGCTCCTCCTCCTCCTACTGCTCCTGGTGTTGCTGCTGCTGCTTCTGGCGTTGCTGTTGCTGTTGTTACTGCTGCTGCTGCTTCTGGAGTTGCTCCTGCTGCTTGGGGAGCGGCAGCGAGCAGGGGATCGTCTACCACTGGGAAGCAGATCCCCACTTTGAACTCCGGAGCCATTATAGCAGCAGCAATCCTCGCCTCGAGCGGCACTTCGTCTTCCTGTGCCAGTTGCTGCTGCTGCTGCTGGCGCTGCTGCAGCTGCTGCTGTTGCTGCTGTTGCTGCTGCAGCTGCCTCTCCTCCTCCGCGTCTCCATGCCCAAAAATATCTACAAGACGGAATCGGTTTCTGCAGATGCACTCAACGATGCAAGACGCCTGGGGCCCACCATGGGGGCCCCCTAGGGGCCCCCCATGGGGGCCCCCATCTCCTGCAATGATTGTATGCTGCTCGATCCCCACGCAGCAACCGAAGACCCCTGCCTCAGGCGAAGTGCCGAGTCCTTCTAATTCCGCATCCAGCGATGGGTCTGCTGCTGCTGCTGGTTCTGTTGTTGCTGCTGCTGCTGTTGCTGCTGCTGCGGTTGAGGGGGAAGCTGTTGTGCTGGAGCCAGCACGCTGGCGGTATCTCCTGGGAATGCTGCGAGGGCGAGGTAGAGGAATATCTGCTGCTCTTCTGCTTATAGGGGGGAAGACAATGCCGAAGTGTTGAGACCCCTGGAGGCAGCGCATGCAGCACCAAACAGAGGGGGTAAGCCTTCAGCAGCAGCAGCAGCAGCAGCAGCAGCAGCAGCAGCAAAAAAGAGAGCGAACCAAACCAGCACGTGCATTAAAAACAACTGGTAAACAACCGACAAACAAATACGGAGACAAATAATACAGAAATGCAGAAATCAACAGCACCACCAAAAAAAAACCCTAAACCCTAAACCCTAAACCCTAAAACCCTAAACCCTAAACCCTAAACCCTAAAACCCTAAACCCTAAACCCTAAACCCTAAACCGAGAAAACAGTGCAGCAGCAAGTGCAGCAACACGCGCATTAGCAACAGCAGCAACATCACGTGCAGAAGCAGCAGCAGCACAAGGAGAAGCACCAGCAGCAGCAGATGCAGCAGGAGGAGGAGCAGCAGCAACAACGGGAGCAGCAGCAGCTGCAGCAACAACAGGAGCAGCAGGTGAAGCCGAGTCTGCAGCAGCAACACGAACCTGCATGACGTGCTCTATAAGGCGGACGTATTTTTCTTCATATATATGCAGCGTTACTTTCTCCCCAGGCATTAAGGGCCAGGTCTGCAGCGCGAGGGCCCCCCAAGCACTGTGGTGTTGATACAGCTGCTGCTGCAGCTGCCCCCCCATACTAATCAGAAGAGGCAGCAGTTGCCTGCGCTCTGTATCCTCTAGCTGTTGTTGTTGCTGCTGCTGCTGCTGCGGTGGTGGTGGTGAAGAGTGCACCTGCTGTTGCTGCTGCTGCAGTTCAACACCGTGTTGTGTTCTAGATCGTGCTTCTGCTTCTGCCGCTGCCGCTGCTGCTGCTGCTGCTGCTGCTGCTGCTTCAGCCTCTGCTACTCGTTTCCTCATCATCTTAGGGTACTGCGCCTCCAGCAGCTGCTGCAGCAGCGTATTCACCCGCAAGCTGCTGCGAGAGCGGCCCCCCCGTGTCGCTCCTAAAGGCAGCGTGCAGTGCAGCACCGGCGCCCTGCAGAGGGGGCACATCGGCCGGTAATCCAGAGCCTGCAGAAGCAACAGTTGCAGCAGCAGCAGCAGCAGCAATTGCAGCAGCAGCAGCAGTAGTTGCAGCAGCAGCAGAACCACCAGCAGTTGCAACATCAGTAACAGTTGCAGCAGCAGCTACTGCAGCAGCAGCAGCAGTTGCAGCAGCAGCAACGGCAGCAGCAGGTGAAGACGCAAGCAACGCAGCAGCAGGCCTGGTGTAAGAAGGCATACAGCAGCACCTCCATGTCAGCAGCACTGTATGCACGGCAGGAGCAGCGAGGAGACCAGCAGCAGCACCACCATGTGCAGCATCAAAGCAGTAGCAACCAAACAGCAGCAGCATCAGCAACAAAAGCAGCAGCAGCAGCAAAATTAGCAGCAGCACCTCCTCAATGCATGCTTTGCAGAAGTTGTGGCCGCAGGGCGTTGTTACAGGCAGCAGCAAAATCTTCATGCAAATGGAGCACTCAAACTCAGAAGGCACTGACTCCTCATCCTCCCCCCCGTCTGCTGCTGCTGCTGCTGTTGCTGTGGAATTTGCTGCTGCTGCGGCTGCTGCTGCTGCTGCTGCATGAGCGGCAGGACGCTCTCTGGAGCCGTCTTCTGCTGCCACAGCCAGTGAAGCAGCAGCAGCAGTCGGCGGCTCCGCCTGCGAGTCGGACATTTTGCTGCTGCTTTTGCTGCAGTTGCTGCGCCTCTCCTGCGCTGCTGCTGCTGCTGATGCTGCTGCTGCTGCTGCCTGGGAAGCAGCGCACGGCACTGTGCTGTCTTCGGTCGCCTCAGTAACCCCACGCGTTCAGCGGGCGACTGTTATATATGCTGCTGCTGCTGTTGTTGCTGCTGCTGCTACTCTTGCTGCTGCTGCTAATGTGTTGAAGCGCCCTGAGCAGCGGGGGCGCAGCAGCAACGGCAGCTCCGGCCGTCTGCAACAGCAGCAACAGCGGCGGCAGCAGCAGCAGCAGCGTGGCAGCAGCAGTTACGACAGGGGAAGCGCATGCAGTGCAAGCAGCAGGAGGAGCAGCAGCAAGCTTCCTGGATGCACAATTGAAGAAAAAAGCAGAACGGGCGGCACGGAGCCCCAAACCCTAAACCCTAAACCCTAAACCCTAAATAGAAGGGATGGATGGACACTATATGGCTTTCCTTTATGCATACCAACTTAGGAGAATCACATAAATTAAAAATACTAGAATCCTGCTGCGCCGACTCTCGTCCCCGGCTGCAGGCACTGCAGCAGCAGCAGCGGCTGCAGCAGCAGCAGCCAGTGCAGCAGCAGCAGTAGCAGCTGCTGCTGCTGCTGCTACGGCCGTCACCGCACGGCCATAGAGAACAGCAGCAGCCTCACCGCGGGGCGCAGCAGCAGCAACTCTATCCCACTTAAACAAGTGGAAATATTATTGAAAATAAAAGATTAAGTTGAGGTGTATGCTGAGCTATGAATATTTCTAAAGGGAGAAGACAGAGAAGTTGAGTCTTCGCTTATGCGCCTCCCGCCGGCACACTCGAGGTGTACATACACCGCAGCAAGGCGGAGATGGGCTCCCTTACACTTCTTTGAATATCATTCTCAATTGTTTTTCTTCCTTCTTCCTTCAATAGAGACAACACTAGACAACCAGCAACGGCAGCAAACAACGGCAGCAGCAACAGCAGCAACGCCAGCAGCAGCAGCAGCAGCAGCAGCAGCAGCAACGGGACCCGAAGGACGACGAAAACTGCTGAGCGGCAGCATGCGTCTCTCTGTCTCTTCTTCATTTAGAATAAAATAAAACTTTAGAGCAAAAGCAACACAAATTCATCATTGAGGCCCCGGCAATACAGATGGGAGGATAAGGCAGCAGACCAATGGTCTACCAGCAGCAGAGGCAACAGCAGCAGCACCAGCAACAACAACAGCAGCAGCAAGAGTAACAGCAACAGCAGCAGCACTCTCAGCTTCTGCTAGGTCCTCAGTCTCTTGCAGGACATGCAGCAGAAGGCAGAACCCCAGTATCGGTAGCCCCAGCAACAGCAACAGCAGCAAGAGCAGCACTGCAGCAGCAGCAGCACCAGAACTTCAGCAACAGCAGCACCGAGAGGAGTACATCTGCAGCGGCAACCGCACGACAACTTCTGCATGCGCAACTCCGAATGAAAATCGTCTGAGGAGGAGTCGATGCTTTCGATCACAGCTTAAACCCTAAACACTAAACCCTAAACCCTTTTTCTGCTGTGTCTCCGTCTCCTGTACGCGTACAGCATGAGGGTCATTGCGGGTTTCTCCCCCGTTCTTTCGTCTCCGCAGCAGCAGCGGAGACACGTCCGTCCTCGTTTGCTGCCAGCAGATTCCTTTCGCCCCGCTTTGTTGCGGCAGCAAACAGCAGCAGCAGCAGCAACAGCAACAGCTGCAGCAGCAGCAGCAGCAGAAGGAAGGGATCGAGATGGAGACCAAGAAGAAGATTTAGAGACGCTGATGGAAAATTTGCTGCGGCGCTCTCTGCCTACGCCTTCATTTAAGAAGGGTCTATTTGGATTGGGTATCAGCAGCAGCAGCAGCAGCAGCAGCAGCAGCAGAAGCAGAAGCAGCGGGGAAATAGCACATCGAGCTCGCTGCCGCACTGTCCTTCAGGTGTATGCACTCTTAGACCCCCTTGGTGTCGGGTATATTGATATCGACAGCGCTTGCTCCTGTATTGCTGCAGCAAGAAGAGACAACCAGCAGCTGGGGCTGCTGCTGCTAACGCTTCTAGAAGATATGCTGCCTCTAATCTCAAGCAGGTAAAGAAACACTCAAATGCAGCAGCAAGTGGAGTAGCAGCAGGAGACGCAGCAACAATAACTCAAGTAATGGCAGCAGCAGCAGCATCAGTAGCAGCAGCAGCACTAGCGGCCACGCCAGCAGCAGCAGCAGGAGCAACAGCAACAATAACTGGAGCAGCAGCAGCAGCAGCAGCACTAGCACCAGCGCCGGTAGTATCAGCAGAAGCAGCAGCAGCAACGGCACTGTAGAAGCAGCAGCAGTAGCAGTTGCAATGGCAGCAGCAGTAGCGGTAGCAGCAGCAGCAAGGTGATCCGCAGCAGCAGCAGGAGGAATTGTGTAGTTGTTGCTGCAGCAGCAACAACTACACAATTGTGTAGTTGTTGCTGCTGCAGCAGATGCCGATCACCAGGAGGGTTTCTTGTTGTTGGTCGTTTAGAGGGTTTAGGGTTTAGGGTTTGAGGGCTTCTGCTGCAGGTTCTGCTGCTGCAATGTCTCTTTGCTGCTGTCTCCTTTTGCTGCTGTCTCCTTCTGCTGCAGGGGGGTAATAGAAAAGGAGACATTTCTATCGACGCTGCGAGAATGGGTGGAGACAGACAGCAGCGGGTATGGTATTTATTATAGTCTCCGTCAACCAACTAATGTTGTCTCCTCTGCTTTTAAAGACAAGCTTCCTTGTACACAACTAGAAGACAAGCCCTTCTATCGGGGTGTATATACACCCCAGGGGCTCGCTCAAACCCTTCTCAGAAACCCTAAACAAGCACAAGAACAAACCCTCAACGCCCCGCCCCCTGTTGCACACCATGTAAACCCTAAACCCTAAACCCTAAACCCTAAACAGAATGCGTACGGGGACACTTGGCGAACAATTCAGGGGCTTTGCTGTGTTGTGCTGCGTCTTCTGTTTATTTTGATATCTTCTGTTTATTTTGATGTTTGTTTAGTTAGCGTCTGTCTCCTTATTTGTCTCTTTTTGCTGCCCTACACCTTTTTGTGTTTCCTCTTTTGTCCCCGTTTGTCTCTTTTTGTCTCCTTTTGTTTTTTTATGTCTCCTCTTCTGTCTCCTTTTTTGTCTCCTCACGCTTCGTTTTGTCTCCCCTTGCGTCTTTTTTTGTCTCTCTTTCTGTCTCCCTTTGTCTCTTTTTCTGTATCCTTTTGTCTCTCTTTCTGTCTCCTTTTGTCTCTTTGTCTGTCTCCTTTTGTCTCTTTTTCTGTCTCCTTTTGTTTCCCTCTGCTTGGTTGTAGGTCTCCTCTACTCTCTCTTTTTCTATCTCCGTGTGTCTCGTCTCTTTTGCCTCCTTTTCTGTCTCCTTTTGTCTCCTTTTCTGTCTCCTTTTGTTTGTTTTATGTCTCCTTTTGTCTCCTTTTCTGTCTCCTTTTGTTTGTTTTATGCCTTCTTTTGTCTCCTTTTCTGTCTCCTTTTTCTGCAGTTTGTTCGTGGAGACTTGAGTGTGCATATTCGTGCAAGTCAGCAACGACGAGAGGAGACAGTTATTGCTATTAAAGAGGAATTAAAGAAAAAAGAGATGGGTATGAAGCAGCAGCAGACAAACAACAAGAAAGGAGACAGATACAAACCCCTTTGATAATAGTATTGCTGCTAAGAGCAGCGCTTAGCTGCTTCTTCTTGTCTCCTTTTTGGGGTCTTACTTTCTTTGCTGTCTCCTTGTCTCTACTTCTCTCTTTGTCGCTCTGTGTCTCTATCTATTTTACTGTCTCTCTCTCTTTCTGTTGCCTCCTCTTCCTCTCCCTGCCGTATATTTTCACTGTCTCCTTTATGCTTTTGTGCGGCTGTCTCTTCTTTAACCCCCTAGTGTCTCCTTTCTGTCTCTTTTTAAGTCTCCTTTGTGTCTCCTCTCTCTGTCTCATCTGTCTCCTTCCTGTGCGTCAGTTACGTCTTTCTGCTGTCTCCTTCGTGTCTCCTTGCTGTCTCCTTGCTGTCTCCTATATCTCTCTCTTTCGTTTCCTTTTTGTCTCCTTTCTGTCTCTATCACTTTTGTCTGTTGTCTCCTTTCTGTCTCTACTACTTCTTTTTGCTGTCTCCTTTCTGTCTCCTTTCTGTCTCCTACCTGTCTCTATTACTTCTTTCTGCTGTCACCTTTCTGTCTCCTTTCTGTCTCCTACCTGTCTCTATTACTTCTTTCTGCTGTCTCCTTTTTCTTGTACAGCTGAATGTACATTTAAACCGGAGACAACAAAAATGCCTTCTTTTGGGGAACCCTTTATAAACCGCCGCGAGCTCCTTGCACAGGTCCAGCTAAACCCTAAACCCTAAACCCTAAACCCTAAATTCTAAAACCCTAAACCCTAAAACCCTAAACCCTAATCCCTAAACTCTACACCTTTTAAAACCCTAAACTCTAGATCCTAAACCATTAACAATGAACCCTAAGCCGTAATCTCTTATTATCCATACACCCTAGACCTTAACCGTAAACCCTAAACCCTAAACCCTAAATTGTGGGTGGGTCCTGTTAGAGAGGCTGGGGTTTAGTGTTTATTTGCATGTGTTATAATTGCTGATTTGCTGATGCATTTAGATAAAGGCGAAGCAAAAGGATGCAAAACAGCAAAGAGACAGAAAATTTGTTGTGCTGTTAGAGACACCTGTAGAACGAGAACTAGCCCTGCCCCCAGACTCCCCCCGGCCTTTATCTAAACAGGAGACAGCAGACAAAGGCCCTCTGTCTGTCTCTAAAAAGGAGACAGAAGTTAAAGGCCCCCTGTCTTTATCTAAAAAGGAGACAGCAGGCGAAGGCCCTCTGTCTGTCTCTAAAAAGGAGACAGCAGATAAGAGCTCCCTGTCTTTATCTAAAAAGGAGACAGCAGATAAGAGCCCCCTGCCTGTCTCTAAAAAGGAGACAGAAGTTAAAGGCCCCCTGTCGGTCTCTAAAAAGGAGACAGCAGATAAGAGCCCCCTGTCTGTCTCTAAAAAGGAGACAGCAGTTAAAGGTTTACTGCCTGTCTCTAAAAAGGAGACAGCAGATAAAGGCCCTCTGTCTCTAGCTAAGAAGGAGACAGAAGTTAAAGGTTTAGTGTCTGTCTCCAAAAAGGAGACAGTAGGTAAGGCTCCTCTGTCTCTATCTAAGAAGGAGACAGCAGATAAGATGCCCCCGCCTCTAGCTAAAAAGGAGACAGCAGATAAAGGCCCCCTGTCTCTATCTAAGAAAGAAACGACAGGTAAAGCCCCCCTGTCTCTAGTTAAAAAGGAGACAGTAGATAAGGCAGCCCTGCCGCTCTCTAAAAAGGAGACAGTAGGCAAGGCCCCCCCGTCTCTAGCTAAAAAGGAGACAGCAGATAATAAAGGCCCCCTGTCTCCTCCTAAAAAGGAGACAGCAGATAAGGGTCTACAATCTGTCTCTAAGAAGGAGACAGATAAAGAAGAAGCTGCTTCTTCTGTCTGTATAAAGGAGACAGCAGATAAGGGGCCCCAGTCGGTGTACAAGAAAGAGACAAGTGATGGTGCTGCGCCTGTTTCTGAAGAGGAGACAGAGACAAAGAGGAGACAAAGAGGGAGAGGAGAAGGAGACAGCGAGTTTAAAGGTCAGCTGCAGCAGAAGCACACACAAAAAGCAGACAGCAGCAGACAGCAGCAGCAGCAGCAGCAGCACTTTCAACGGGTTTTGTTTGCATGCTAGCCCTACACCTAAAATAAACATCAGTCTCCTCTCGCCTCTTGAGTCTCCTTTCTGTTCTTTGTCTTCTCCTCTGTTGGGCTCTGCGTCTATTGTTTCATGATTTTATGCATATCAAATGCTGCTTCTGTTGCTGCTGCTTCTACTGCTGCTGCTGCTGCTGCTGCTGCTGCTGCTGCTTCCTTTAAGCGCCTTAGCACAGCCCCTGCTTGATAGACGGTATTTTCAGGTGTCTCCTTGTCTCTGTTTATTTATATGCATTTACACATGTATATATAAATTAAAAATTTATGTTTATTTAAACTTTATATGCTTTTATATGTACAATATAAATGTTAATTGCAGCAGCAGAATCTTCTTTTGTTGCTGCAGCATTTGCTGTCTGTCTCCGTCTGTGTGTGATGTCATCAGCAGGAGCAGCAGCAGCAGCAGAAGCAGCAGCAGCAGCAGCAGCAGCAGCAGCAGCGAGCTCTTTCTCCCTGTGGGTGATGCAAGAAGGCACCCCTAAGACGAAGCCTTTAGGGCTGGAGCAGCTGCTTCGAGTCTCTCCTTTACCTCGGGTCCCTCTTGATAATCTGTCTCCTTTTTTTGGGATGTCTGAGGAGACAGAAAAGAAAGAAGTAAAAAAGAACAGCAGCAGCAAAACACCTGCCTATACACCTGAACACGAACCGCTTATTTTCCGCCCCAACTCACCACCTCTCTCACCGCCTTATGTTGTATATACACAAACACAAGACTTAAAGAAGCAGCAGCAGCAGCTGTTCCTGCAGCAGCAGCAGCAGCATCGGAAACTGATGCTGCAGCAGCAGCAGCAGCGGCAGCAGCAGCGGCAGCAGCAGCAGCAGCAGCAGCAGCAGCTGCGAAGAAACCACTATAAACCCCACCCCCCTCTAACCCCTGGGTTAGCAGCTTCGTTTAAAATTCCTTTTATTGCGGAGAGGCGTCAAGAGATTGCAACACCAACTGCTGCTGCCTTTGCTGCTGCTGCTGCTGCTGCTGCTGCAGAACCAGCAGCAGCAACACGAGCATCAACAGGACTAAGGGCGCAGCAGCGACAACGACAGCAGCAACAGCAGCAGCAGCTGAGGAGACCCTTTTCTTCTGTTCCTTCAGATGATTGTCTCCTTTGGACTGCAGACGCGACAGACTTTGTTAGAGGGATTAGTAAAATATCAGTAAAAACAAATAATGCAAGAGCAAGAGAAATGTACAGACGCCCCTCTGGGCAAACAAAGACAGAAAAAAATGTCTTTTAAAAACAAACCTCTACTAAGAGAAGAAAGTAAAGATATCTATAAATGCATGCATTTATAGATATTATCTATATCTATCTTTTTTTATTTAATAATTAATTAATTATTTTTTTGCGACTTCAATTAGAGACAGAGATGATATCAGACAGAGGATATTGAGGGAGACGGTGGTTTTTGTTTTTTTTTAATTTTGTTTTTTAAACAAATATAGAGGAGTATATACACCCCGCCGGCCCATATATATATATATATATATATGCCATATATATATATAATATATATATATATATAATATG